CCTAGAAGAAAACATAGAGAAAAAGCTTGTTGACATTGGTCTTGGCAAATACTTTGGACATAACACCAAAAGCACAAGCAAAAAAAGCAAAAATAAACAAGGGGGATTATATCAAACTAAAACGCTTCTGCACAGCAACAGACACAATCAACAGAATGAAGAGATGATGGAATGGAGAAAATATTCGCAAACCATATAACAGATAAGCAGTTAATATCCAAAATATATTACGAACTCATACAACTGAATACCGAAAAAACAAATAATCTGATTAAAAACAGGCAGAGGACCTGAATAGACATTTTTCCAAAGAAGATGTGGCTAACAGGCACGTGAAAAGATGCTCAACATCATAATCATCAGGAAAATGCAAATCAAAACCACAATGAGATATCACGTCACATCTGTTAAATGGCTATTACCAAAAAGACAAAAGGTAATAAGTGTTGGTGAGGATGTGGAGAAAAGGCAACCCTAGTGCACTGTTGGTGGGAATGTAAATTGGTGCAGCCACTCTGGTAAAACAGTATGGATGTTCCTCAAAAATTAAAAATAGAACCACCATATGATCCAGCAATCCCACTTCTAGGTTTATATCTGAAGGAAATGAAATCACTATCTTGAAGGGATATCTGCACCCCTATGTTCATTCCAGCGTTATTCACAATAAGCCAAGATGTGGAAACAACCTAAATGTCCATCAACACATGAATGGTTAAAGATGTGGTATGTGTGTGTGTGTGAGACTATTATTCAGCCATATAAAAGAAGGAAGTCCTTCCATTTGTGACAACATGGATTGACCTTGAGGGCATTATGCTAAGTGAAATGAGTCAGGTAGAGGAAGACAAATACTGAATGATCTGACTTATATTGGAACTTAAAAAAAGCCAAACTCAGATATAAAAAGTAGAATGGTGGTTGCCAGGGGCTGGCAGGTGGGGGAGATGGGGAGATGTTGGTTAAAGGGTACAAACTTCCAATTATAAGATGAATAAGTTCTGGGGGAATCTAATATTCAGCATGGGGACTGTAGTTAATAATATTGTACTTTGAACTTGAAAGTTGCTAAGAGAGTAGATCTTAAATGTTCTCACTACAAAAAGAAATTGTAGTTATGTGAGGTGATGGATGTGTTAACTAACCTTATTGTTGTAATCATTTCACAATAAATATCTGTGTCAAATCATCACATCATATGCCTTAAACTTACACAGTGTCATATGTCGATTGTATCTCAATAAACCTAGAAGCAATTTTTTTAAAAAGAACATGGTACCACCTGTAGATTTGCCAAAGCTTGAAATCTGAGTCTGATCAAGCCTTGGGATCCAGCTGCAAATTTGCAGGAAATACTGAGGATAGAGGAACAAGTTGAACTGCACCATGAGAATGCAGTTGGCAAAATCCACGTTGTGGGAAACTCTGCAGGTCAAGTGGCCCATGTTTTCTTCAATGGATAAATTAAAAGGAAAAAAATGGAGAGGGAACTTGTTGATTAAAAGATCGTAAAGATAAATCAAATATTAAAAAATGATCAAGACCAAACTATAGTATCAGGATGGACACCCTGAGTGATAAAAATTTAAAGAAACATAAGGAAGTGATTACTATAAAAGTCAAATAGTGGTTACTTTTGGGGGGAGGAAGGGCATAGTGATTGGGGTGTGATACAAGGAGGGATTTCTGGGGTGGGTGCCAAAGTTCTATATCCTGACCTGGGTGGTGGTTACAAGGATGTTCACCTAATAATAATGCATTGAGTTATGCATTTGTTTTGTGTGGTTTTTCTGTGTTTTACTTTATAATAGAAGTTTAAAATATAAAATATTTTAAAGAAAATAGTGCATACTATATCTTCTTTGATGATATTCATATTGTTTAGTAGACTATTGCAAGTTCTGAGAAATTCTGCTATAAATAAACCTATTTTCTTTGTTTAAACACACACTCTCTCTCTCAAAACCAAATAATAGAATGTGTAGGTTATACTGAAAGCACTAGATAAAACATCTGATTGCTTCAAGAGAAGTTTTATTCTTACAACAACTCCTGTCCTAGGTTAAGTACTTCTCCAGAAATTTTGACACTGATTATAGACCACATTCCTGAGGCATTATTTCAGCCACACATGCCCATCTGAGGCCTTTGCCCAGCTGGAGCTGGGTCTTCCTCCCTCTAGCAGAGGTCTTTTATTGATCCCTATGAAACAACAAAAGGGGATTAAATATCTCTCTACTTGCAGGAAATATTTTATTTGGTTTGGCCAAGATCGTTTTAAGTTTTATAAATCTATACCATGAGGATATAGTGAAGATATAGAGGATATGGAGTCTGGGGCCATCTGTATGGGGCTGTAGACAATGGTCAGGGTAGGCTGACCGCTAAAATAGCCCATCATGTACCTTGTGTGTAGAACACTGTTAGTCATTGTGTGATACAGGAACATTTTATTCAACAAGCCCCGCAGACTGCTGAACTTCAGGGGCTAGAGTGCCTTCAGTGTGGCACTCTGCACAACTCATGGTGCCTTTGTGGCCCATTATGTTCAGTACTGCTGCCCAGCTCGCTTTTTACCTATCCTTCTCCAGAGATTCCCTGTCATCATTCCTGTGATGTTATCTGTGAGAGCATTTCCAGAAGAGGTTAGCATTTGAATCAGTAGACTGAGTAAAGAAGATCTCCTTCACCAATATGGGTGGGCACCATCCAATCCATTGAGGGCCTGGATAGAACAAAATGGCGGAGGAAGGGTGAATTCACTTTCTCTGAGCTGGGACATCCATCTTCTGTTCTTGGACATGGGTGCTCCTGGTTATGAGGCCTTTGGATTTGGGCTGGGACTTAACATCACTGGCTCCCCTGGTTCTCAGGCCTTTGAGTTTGGACTGAAGTTATAGTACTGGCTTTCCTGGGTCTCCAGCTTGCAGACTGTAGGTCATGGGACTTCTCAAGTCTCCATAAATGCAGAAGCCAATTCTTCATAATAAATCTCTCTCTATATATCTATGTATATCCTATTGGTTCTGTTTCTCTAGAGAACCTTGACTAATATAATTCCCTTATCCAAGGAATGCAGTGAAGTAAAATTAATAGTGAATCCTTGTTCCAGAGACTTGAGGATATTCAATTTGTATAAATACTTGGTAGATATTTCGTTGTATTCACTAGCAGCAAACAATTGACTTGTAAACAGGAAAAATGTATCTAGCAGTGTGTAACTCAAACAATGCATATGCTTATGTTTTTCTTTTACTTTTTTGCTTTCCTTTTAAAAATGTATGTATTTTTCATTTTAAAGTAATATGAATCTATTACAGAAAAACTTGAAAAATAAAAAAATGTTTCTATATTCTTACCACTGTAATACAAATCATGGTTATAACTTTGTATATTTCCTTCTAGTCTATTTTGGTATGAATATTTTTTCATAGTTGTAATAAAAACATGCCTATAATTGTGTTGTTTCCTTTTAAATGTAGCTTTAGGTAATTATGATATAATCGTATACATATTTCCATGTTGCATTGTTATCACAACAGTAATTTTTTTACTGCATTAAATTTCATCATTTGACTCTATTATATTTTTTAACTGTTAACCTGTTTTTGGTTAGTGCATTTGAGCAAATATATTTTTGTGCAAGTATAACATTATGCACATTGTTTTTTGGTTATTGTTGCTCTGAATTTTTTTTTTTTAATTTTATTTATTTATTTTTTTTCCTCCAAAGCCCCAGTAGATAGCTGTATGTCATAGCTGCACATCCTTCTAGTTGCTGTATGTGGGATGCGGCCTCAGCATGGCCGGAGAAGCGGTGCGTCGGTGCGCGCCCGGGATCCGAACCCGGGCTGCCAGCAGCGGAGCAGACGCACTTAACCGCTAAGCCACGGGGCCGGCCCTGTCACTCTGAATTTTTGAGGGAGAATATTAACAAGTGTCAAGAATTTCGGTAAACTTCCATCTGATTTTCCTTTCAGCTCTGTCATCGAACCTAACAAATCTAGTGATTGTAGAAGTAGGAAGCATATATTAATTTTCCAAGTGTTTTACTACCCAAGATCTTAATTATATGTGACTTAATAAAGGCATATAAAACTTGAGTGAGGCTGAATCTCGTTTACATTTAGAAATTGACCACAGAATCGCAGTTGTGCACAGTTGAGAAACTCATGGTAGGAAATGAGGGTTCTTTATTTGGAGCCAGGGACATGTATTGCAACATTTTCGATGTAAGTATGTGCATTCTCGAGAGATGGGTATTAGTTTTCATCATATGTTCAATTCAGTAACTACTGGTATGAGTACAATGTTTGCTAGTTGAAAGGAATGCTATTTTTATGTTTGTTTGTCATTGTTTCCTCCTTCCCTGCCTTCTCCCTTCTCTCTCTTTCCTCATTCGTTATTCAGTAATAGAACTCAGAAAAATGTTCTTATTGGTGATCAGTGATTTATCACATGAAAATTTCTGATGACTTAAAATTTTTAAAAACTGGACACGAGAAATTGTTAATCAAATACTGTGTCTGTATTGATTTTGGGAAGTTTTCCCATTTCAATCAGTAATTGAGTGTTACCTTTCTTTGTTAGAATTTCTTTTCAAAGCATGACCAAGATGCTGATCACTAAATAGATTTTGACTATTAATACAAGTTATTATGTTTTGAAGAACCCATAATGATTTGAGTGTGGAAATCATTCATCAAATGCAGTTATCTTTTTACTATTTTTTTTTGAAAGGTGTAGCTTTACTAACTCTGTTAAAATTTGAGGCTTTCTATGTTTTTGTACAACTAAGACAAAGAGGCATTCTATGCAAATAACCTTAAATAAAATTATTTTTAAATGTTAGAAACTCTCTTTAAAAGGTAAAATCTTAGTCATTTTTGATTGCCAGATGACAGGAACAACTTCTCTTTTCTAGTGTAACAGAGCTTCTAATATGCAATGACCACCTCATTTTTGATAAAGGACTAATCAGTATCTTGTGTGTTCTTTAGGAATGGGTTGTTTCTGGGGAGCTGAAAGGAAATTCTGGACCCTGAAAGGAGTCTATTCAACTCAAGTTGGCTTTGCAGGAGGCTACACTCCCAATCCTACTTACAAAGAAGTCTGCACAGGTAGGAAGAATTTGTTCCATCATATTACTAGAAACAAGGAAGGGCCTGTCCCTGCTGGCAGGTGACAGGATCTTTAAAATAGAAATACATTTTTTTGTGTTTCCTTAGTCTTCTCTTTCTCGTTTCTATAAATATACTTGTTGGCCTCTCACTTTATATTTTTGGAAGATAATAAACTTCCTGTGTAATATATCATTTAGCTTTCGCTGCAGAACAATCACCCCAAAACTTAATCACTAAAACAGTTGTTTACTAGCTTATGATTCTGTGGGTCAGCAGCTTAGGCCGGGCTCAGCTTGGCGGTTCTTCTGCTGGTCTTGTCTGGGCTCACTCATGTGATTCCAGTCAACTGGTGGTTTACCTGGGGGCTAGTTGGCTTCACTTATATGTCTGGCAATTGGTGCTGGCTGTTGATTAACACTTGCTGTTGGCTGGGATATTGGGGTTGATGGACCATGTGTGGCCTGGGCTAAATCACGTGGTGGTGAATGCAGAGATACCAGGAGTAGCAAGAGAGGACAAGCCTCATTCTGCTAGCACTTTTCAAGTCTCTGTTGTGCACATTTTCTATCGTCCCGTTGGCCAAAGCAAGTCACATCATCTAGCCTGGAGTCAATGTGGGAGAGAGTCCCCAAAGGCAGGTGTGCAGGGAGGTGTGAAGAAATTCGTACCATTACTGCAACAGTCTACTACGTGGGACATATGTGTCATATATCAGACATGTTTTCTTAAGGGAAAAATATTAAAAGCCAGGCTATAATGAAGAGATTGGAAAACTATGGCTCGCACGCCAAATCCTGCCCACTGCCTATTTATATAAATGAAGTTTTATTGAAACACAGCTATGCCCGTGTGTTTATATAGTATCTATGAATGCTTTCATGCCACAATGGCAGAGTTGAGTGGATGCGACAGAGACTATATGGCCTGAAAAACCTGAAATATTTATGATCTGGCTCTTTATGGAAAAAAAGATTTGCTGAGCAGAATAGGCAGATACCCCCATGGCAAATTCTAGGTCGAATACTAGATAAATCTCTGGATTTGTTTTTTGTTTCTGGCCTTCACAGATTTCCTTTACTTTTCCACCAGCTCAGGTAGCATTTAAAACACATTTTTTTTCTCTTAAAATTTTTTTTTAATTTCTTAAAAGTGGTATATATTTAAGGGGTACAACATGATGTTTTGATATACATAGTGAAATGATTACTCTAGTCAAGCTAATTAACATATTCATCTCCTCACAGACTTTTTTTAGTGTGGTAAGTACCTTTGATCTACTCTCTCAGCAAATTTCAAGTATACAATGCAGTATTATTAACTATGCCACCATGGTGTACATTAGATCTCTAGAATATATCATCCTACATAACTGAAAGTTTGTACCCTTTGGCCAACATCTCCCCATTTCCTGCTGCTCCTGCCCCTGGTAACCACCATTCTACTCTCTGCTTCTTGAGTTCGATTTTTTTAGATTCACATGTAAGTGAGATCATGCAGTTTTTTTTTTTCTGTGTCTGGCTTATTTCACTTACAATAGTGTCCTCCAGGTTCATCCATATTGTTGGAAATGGCAGGATTTCCTTTATTTTTAAGACTGAATAATATTCTATTGTATACGTATACCACGTCTTCTTTATCCATTCCTCCGCTGACGGACACTTAGGTTGTTTCCATATCTTGGCTGTTATGAGTAGTGCTGCAGTGAAGCTGGGAACACAGATATGTCTTCAAGATGCTGATTTCATTTCCTTTGGATATATAACCAGAAGAGAGATTGCTAGATCATATGATAGTTCTAGTTTGAATTTTTTAGGAATCTCCACACTGTAAAACACATTTTTTAAAAGAATAGTTTATTCACCATCTTAAGAGTTCTTAATTGGGAGGGTTTATCCAGATACATAATGTACTGTATTGACAATGTTGGAATTTAAAAATGCATAAACAGTTTTATCTTTTTAAAATAAAGGTTTGAATTGGTGTCATTTGTGGAGAGCCCTCTCTGTTCTCAGGGCCCGGTGAATGAAGGTGGGGGAGGAGTTGGAGTATGGGTTTGTTCAATAATGAGCATATGGATTTGTTTGCTGTAATATGACTTCTGATTTTGGAATGAAATTTGAGCTGTGCAACAATGAAAATATTATAAAAATATACATATTCTTGTTTTTCTCGCCTCTAGAGAAGAATTGATATATTCTGATTGGAGTTGAGAATGCGGAATATCAAACAAATACTTTAATGATTAATCCTTTTTTTTTTTTTTTTGCTTCCATTTCAAAATTAAACAAATGCTGATGCAGAGCTATAAATAGAGTCAGATGAACCCTGGAGATTGCCCAGGTGTGTCCTCTTAAGCCTCAGGAATGGAAATGAGTAGATTCCTTCCTGTAATTGCAGACATGACTTAATAGCCTAAGAGAAAATGTTGCTAAGAAAACCTGCAGATATCTGCTGCTTATACTGTTATTCTCCACGAGCAACATGGTAATAATCAATTAGAATATCGTGATTGCTTGTTTGCTCAGACTCGTTCCTATGCAGCTCCTCACCTTCACAATGACACGATAATTCCTCTTCGTTGACTGCCTACTATGTGCCAAACAGAGGAAGAAGCACTTTTTGCATCTTTGCTTTTTTTCCATCTAATGTTCCAAACAGTCCCATGAAGTGTCTCGGTTTCTGTCTTTTGCAGAGAGAGTGTTGAGGCTCAGAGAGGAAAAGTAACTTACCCAAGGTCATCTGTAGCAGGAATCCCAACCTTGTTAGTTCTCAGCTCAGTGTGTGCCATTGAACAGGGTGTAAGTCACCCAGCTGTCATCGTGTCCCAGTGACTCTCCATTCATCTGTTCACACTTCCCTTCACCAAGTCACACATGCTCTTTCATGTCTGTTCCTTAACTGTGCTTTTTAATGTATTGGTGTGCTTTTTAATGATTACTAAGGAAAATACCAAGTAAATTTTTTTGTCTTTCTAATGCTGAGAAGGAAAAAGGACAAAACCCTTTTAAGATACAGTTCCTGCAAACAGCTGGTGTGTTCGCGGCCTGTAGCAGTGGTGAAGTACAGAGACCAGGAGGTTGGTAAAGATCTCTCTATTTGATGTGAACACTACCTGCTAAGTTAGTGGTGGCATCGGGAAGCGTGGTTGTCATGGAAACACGTTCCTGATTGGGAAAAGATAGTTATAGGGTCTTACCCAGACACAGAAGAAGAGATGATTTCTTTCCCCAGGCTTTTTTTGTTCTGATCATGAAAGGGAAGAACAAAAAGGCAGAGAGAAGCTGTGATAGAAAGGTCCCTCTGGCACAGAAGTGGTAGAGCCTTCAGATCCCTGGAAATAGCAGGGAAGATGAACAAACAAGGTCCCTAGCTAGAGTAATTATGGTAACAGGCTAATTAAAGATTTTTGACTGAGGAGAGGATGGGGGAGATAGAAAGCAGGTTATACTGGTAAGGCCTCCCCGCTGAAGCCTCGGTACTCACAGCCTTGTTGAACAAGTCAGCCCTGGAGGGGTCTGCCTTGCAAGAAAGAAAAACCAAGGCTCCGCTAAGATGCATAATAATTGCTGAGGTTTTGTGTGAGAGAAATACTAGTCTATGCTCCATTATTTGCATTAATTTCAAAATTGCTTATTCTTGTGTTTGTAATTAAGTTGTAAAACTTTAGTCACAACCAGGGGTCTTTTGTAAAGGTATTTATTTATTCATTCATTCATTCAAGAAAAGAAGGCTAAGGAGCTGGACTGTGTGCCAAATTCCTTCTCTCATACAGCAGTATACATGAACCTAAGGCACCATTTGGTTTCTTGGGGCAGGTGCCAGAATTACAGGGGTAGCACTCTGGAGGGGGTTCTCAGAATCCACAGGGCTAGTTCTACCACTCCCCCCTGCCCCACCCCAACCTGTCACATGATGACGAATGTCAGAGCTTCTACAACATTGTCTTGGCACACAGATTGGTGATCACAAGCCGCGGACCCAGACTATTGGCTGAAGTTTGTTGTGCGCACTTGCTGGTGGGTATGCACAGCCTCAGGGGGTGAGTGAGCAAGCGAGTGTGTATGTGAGTGTAAGAGCAGGTGTGTATCCAGACAGGATGCACGTTAATTTCTGAATGGTATTTCTGTGTGGCAATTGGTGGGTTGGTGATTCTGAGACCTAAGCTGGAGTTGCAGTTAGGCATGTAGAAAAGATATGGGGCTTTTAGTAGCAGCCAGGAGAGGAGGTGACCCCCATGGTGACACATGGATAGAGTTGACTCTGACATGTAAGCAGAACATTCATTAATGGCTCACCAATAGGTCTGTTACGTGCTGGGTGAACTGTGTGAGACTTGAACCTGCCATATGTGGAAGGTACAAGGGGACAACAGTTCCTCAAGAATTTGCAATAAAGTTGCCCTTTGGGAATGAAATATAAAATAAGCCTGCAATGCATCCGAGTGGAGATAGGCGCTCGCTTAGAAGAGAGCTTGCTTCCGGGTCTACAGGACCTCTGAGTAACCTGATGGAATGCCCTGTCATATGTAAATGGAGAAAAAAGAGGACCTCAGAGGGAGGCTGGTCAGCCAGGCCAGCCTGGGAAAGGAGAAGCCCTGCTGGCACTTCATGGGTTGCTCTGTAAGGTTTGGCTGCTGGACACCATGCTGCTTTTAAGTTCTATCACTAACTCCTCTTGTTCTGATCTACACTCTGTAGAAACTTCTCATCTTTTGTCCTCCTGTGGAGATTATTTACAGAAAGAAAATACAGTGAGACCAGGTCTATCAGCCAGACAGCTCTACTTCTCATTTCAAATTCAATTAGATGCCATTCTGAGATTCGTATCTCAGTCTATTGTGAGTTTAGTCTACATGGGTCATTCTCTCCATATTGGATTAACCTTGGTTTGAATTAAATGACAAAAATGGAATTTTGGCCTTCAAAGCTGAGAGGCAGAAGCCAGAACACCACAGTTTTCCAAAGGCCGTGGTTGCCTCTTTGCATTTCCCTGGAGAC